GATGTTGCAATTCCTCTTGTACCATTTCAGAGTGTTTTCAAGCACCACAAAAAGATACAAAACTGAAATCAATTTTGTTGAACCATGTTATTTTTTTGAACTGTTCAAATGATCGGCTTATGAGTATTTCATTTCAATTTTAGGAAATTTTAGGCGATTTGGTCAATTTATCAAAAGGTAATATTAGATTATAAAAGTTTAACATGTAAGTGTGCATATACCTGGTCCACCATGACCATCTCCAATGTTAAGCTCAAGAGTTCGACGGCTGTCCTTGTGATGAAAAATGTGAACAGGCCACATTTCTTTTGGGCTATGAAATTTCACTCCATTTAACTTCTGCTCATTGTTCACATTGCTGATAGCCATCATCACAGTGTCTTTCTTGCCATACTTTTTCCCCATACTTCCTCCCATCACCATAAAGGTGCCACCTCTGTTCCTTAGGAAGCCAATAGTAAAGGTAATGCAGACATTCAACCAAACGGGTAGGCTCAATGCGATAACCAGTTGGTGTTCGTTGTGGCTGATTGTATTTGCTCTTTAGCTCAGCAACCTAAGGAAAAAAAAGTTTGCAAATGTTATTGACAAATTTTCTTTTATTATTAGCCAGCCCAATCGTTTCATCCAAACCAAATTTCAATTTGCTCATGTTCATACTTTGTAATATGTTTTCAGTGTGTTTACCATGATCTAATGAATAGAAGACCCTATGCAGAAAATTTGACGTATATCAGGAAAGATACATATAACTGCAAGACAATTACCTTTCTTTTGGTAGCAAGATATCCAAGCGGCAATATCTTCCTGATCTCATCAATTGTCTGTCCAGAATTGCATTGATCTTGAAGTTTCAAGATTGCTGATGGTGGGATTTGCACTGTTGCCTGCTCTGCTCCAATCTGATTGTAAAAACTGTCCCCAGTCTTTGTACGAATTAGCTTAGTCAACAAGATAATATCTTGTATTTCTAGTTGTCCTTGCCAGGCTGAGTCACTACTGCGCTACTGTCTAAATTTCCAGCCCACTGATAATGAAATGCCATGAAGGAAGTCAATCTGTAATAAGAATATGCCAAAATTAAATTTTTTCGATTCCATCAATCTGGTCCTGTTTATCTTCTAAATTTTAATCTGTTCTTGACTTACTAGCAACAATTTCAGAGAAACATCAAATGTTATTTTTCAATGTCAGGCACACGGGTAGAACATTTAAACATTACTTTGATGACTACATTGATAAAACTCCCTACAAACCTTAGAACCATAATGAACTTCCAGTGCCAAGTCAGTCAATATTTTGCTCTGCTTTTTTGCCCTCTCCTCCAGTATTGCAGGTCGGAATGTTTGTCCATCTGCTAAACGTCCAGCCAGAGTTGATGTTCACTCTGGGGGCTTAATACAGCCAGTGAACACTTTAAATATTGATGAACATGTTATTTTTGCCTTTGAGTGATAAATCAGTTTGAGTTTTTTTAGCCTGTTTCAGGCTCTAACCCACTGGGCGGGCGAGCGATGAACGACCGTTGTGTTCGTTTAAGGGAAACGGCTGCGTGAACCCGCCATTTCGTTCTTTTACTCATTTCCATTAACCGAGAGACTAGCAGAGGTTAGGGTTATTTAGCTCCCTCTCACTTTGACTAAAGAGCTTTTTGTGCTTAATCGCCACCCATGAACTGTTGCAATCTGAAATCCAACGACAATCTTTCAGTTGTTCTGTCCCTGCCACTTACATGCAGAAACCTTTACATTCGGCATTTTAAGAGTAATTCAAACTCGTGCATCTGAAGACTCTTTGTAAGTTTTTGTAGTTGTGCATTCTACCAGACGCTTCTCAAATCATGCATGTTACGAATAATCTACGGTCGTGCTCTTAAGAGCACTAAACTGTCGCATTTTACGAACGTTTAATGGCCCCATTTTTGAGAACACTTCACAGTCGCATTTTACGAAAACATAACGGGTGCACTTTTATTAGGAACACTCAACTGAAAAATTTTAAGAAAACTTTACAGTCACATTTTACGAACTCTAAACAATCGCATTTTACAAACACTTAACGGGCGCGGTCCTTTTATCTTTTCGAAAGAATAAATTTCGTGACATGTTGTTACGTTTAAGTTGTCATAGTGACCTTCTGAAATAATTCATGTACTTGATTTCTTTTTTACATAGGTAAAATAAAGGTCAACAGCTGTTTCCGCCATTATTCCAAAGTGGCCATACACGGTCATTTTTAATCATTTAACAAAGCCTATTGCAGCCAAAGCTGATCCGCTTTTCTTGATACGCTTTGTAGGCCTATAACAAGGTCTGCCATACATATTAAGAAACCATAACATACATGATCTAAAACTTTTATCCTCGCATTTAAACTTCTCAAACTCTTTATCTTGGTCCGCCATAAGTGGCGCGTCCTGGTTGGGAAGAGTTCGTGCTATAATGCCATATGACTACTGATATAGCACAATTTGTCATAGTATTGAAAAGAACCCGGGGTTGTATGATGATGCTAGAAGGTAGCGTTGCAGAAGATTTGTCTCGCATGCAAGCCAAAAACCTGCCGCATCCTACATACTTATGAGAGCCCTGTTTCACAAGAGAAAGATGATTCAAGAATATAGTGAATAGTTGACACTCACCTACTAATTAAATGGTAACAAATAATTATATTAATGATAACAATAGTAATAATAATGAAAACAAAAGTAACAGTAATGATAACTTATAGGGGCTAGCTCAAGAACCTAACTGGACCTCTGTTGGTCTATCCCTAGGCTCCAATAATGATTAAACTAGCCTTCTTTTAATTTTATTTGTCTGTTAATTAAAATCATTTTCTCATTTCATTGCCATTCCATTTTTGTGAGACTTTTGTTTCATACAACAAGGCATTCTGCGTTGTAGAATATTTCGCCATTCCGCCATTCAAATTCATTCCGCAAAATTTCAAATTTAGTAGCGTCGGAGGTTTCGCAGAGATTTCGCCAGAGGTTTCGCAGTGTTCAGGCAACAGGATATTGGTTAGCTCAGGAAAGGGCTTGAACTTCATTAAAAATAATGTATTTCTGTTATTAAAGTAAGATGGAAACTACAATTGGTCAGATTTCCATACGATAAGGAAAGTGCAAGTGTATTCACGTGGAAAGACAAAGAGTACGAGTACATCTGAAGCGCGTGAAATAAGAACCGTAAGGGGCCCATCATTCTTCACTTGCAAAAAAGTCAGCCGAACAGAATGTGGAACAATCGTGTACGGTGTAGTAACAGGCCCCTTAATCAGCATTATTTTTAGCTGGATTCATTTGCCATCTTCCCCTGATTTGACAAGTGGTATGTGTTCGTATTAGCTGTCTTCGAAGCCAGTAAGGATCATTAGGCCGACGACACTAAAGAGAAAATCTCTTCGATGTCGACGATCGAAACGCATCTATTTTGGCCATACAGCTACATCCTTTGGAAAGTAGTATATCGAAATACCCGGTGTATGTGTATTTTTCTTTTGGCTAACATCATTTGGCGCTCCGGCCACGCAATATGTTCGTTATCTCTTCTAGATTTCTCCTTTCTCCACCATATTTGCCGACGTGTCTTCACAGTTTTGTACGTCACAGCTATGTAATATAATCGTTTGGCCGCGCTTAATGAGGACACTTTTGGTCGCCAAATCGTACTTTCAATGAACAAAAAATTGGTCAAGGAGAACTCGCTAGGCGCTAAGGTCGATTATTTCTAATTTTAAATATAACTATCAACCAGAAAATGCAAAAAAGAAATCTCGTGTCATAAGCACTTGAAGCGGAGCCACTCAAACAAGACTAAAAAAATATTTCGAGCAAAATTTAAACCACCTTTCAAGTCTCCCAAAATGAATGTTAGTAGCATGTTTTAACGAGGTTTTGTTCATAAAGCGGTCTATTAGGGTATACAATGGCGTTTTCATCGTTTTATATGATACCCTCATTATCTGGAACCTGTGTTCAGCGGTATTGAGCCGTCAACTTGTGTTAGGCGGGCTCCCCGCCATTCTCCGTTTGAACCCGCTTAAATTACGTTTGACTGTACTTGAATATAGAGCAAGATTGTACGAAAAAGTTCGGGGCTATGTCAATGTGAAAGATTTTAGGGGGACTATCAGAAGAGAGTTGTTGCAGTTTCATAGCACAATTGACCAAAGCTTGACGTTTTGACAAGCTTTGTGGGCTAAGTAGTTATTTGCGAACATCTACTGCTTGGTAAAAACATCTCTTGTTCTGATATGAAGAATAAGCTATAATTATATCTTTTCTTAATTTACCAACTTAAATATTTTGGTAGTTCTACAGCTTGTTGGATATATGTTCCGAAAACGAACCGAAGTTTCCGAGACCCCCTCGTGTAGGTCGGAGAAAGGTTTAAAATTGTCGTCAGGATTCACGGGTCAACAACTCTGACCGATGAATGTATACTCGAGTACCAGGCTCTTTTCTCTTACTTTGTGTACCAGTTTGCAAAACCAACTCAGCTTACATACTTTCAGATTCATTTACACGTATTTCTTGATCTTCGTTTAGTGGTGGCAAATGCCTTCTTGCAAGTAAAATATCAAGGTACGAGTTTCCTCCGTAAACCCTGGCTTGTGATCATCTAAACTTTCAGTTTCCGCTCAGAGCGTCTTTCTTCCTTCCCACTTAATTGTGCCGATGAAAAATGAACGGCTGTAACTTTAATCAGCAAATGAATTTATAGAATGAGTTGAAGAAACGAATCAAGAAGCGATCCTCAACCACTAGTTCAGTAGTGTTTATAACTGCGAGGATGGCTTCTATATTCGCTTCTTCAACCGCAGTGCACAAATATGATTTTCATATATCTACAGTCGTTAATCACCACTTGGAAGGTTTATTTAGACCCAAAACATTGACCAGCTCCCATTTGGCATGTTAGCTCAGTTGGTAGAGCGCTGCAGCGGTATTGCAAAGGTCGTGGGTTCAAATCCCGAACGGACCTGAAATATTTTTCAGGCCTTATTTCAACTATTAGTACAGTAGTGTTCATAACTGCGAAGATCGCTTCTTCAACTGCAGTGCACGTATAATTTTCATATATTTACAGTCAGCAGTCACAAGGTACAGTCATGTTTACATATATTTATATATATATACAAGGCCTAAATCCGGCGTCATTTACCCCACCCCGATCCATAGGATCTCAGGAGGCTTAGAAAATACTACCGACTAGAGGTACAGCTTGCATATTTAGTCAACTTTGCCCAATTTTTTTACTGCGATTTGCTCTACATTTATTTTTTCGCACTCCAAATTAGTTTTACTCTCCTTGGAATTACTTTTTTTCGTGAACACATTTACATTTTGTTTTTCTTATTCAGTTTGAAACCTCTAGCCGGTAGGACTTTAAGAGGCTTAAAAATACTTGAAGCACAGCTTGCATAATTAATCAACCTTCCCTAATTTTTATTACAGTCTGCTTTGTATTTTACTTTTTGGCATTCCATTTTAGTCTTACACTACAATGGAATCACATTTTTCATGAATATCTTCTTGTTCCTTGGTCGTGTACCTACCACGGCTTATGTGATGGTGCAGCACACAAGCTATGTGGGTGCATCAAATGACTCTTTATGGGGAATCAGCTGAAACTAAAGCACATGCTCCCCTTTAAGGAGTTGCCATTATTAGGCAATAAGTATAGGGTTTCTGGTTGGTGTTCAAATAAGAAAGGTTTGATTAGTTTTAATAATAGCAATTTTGTTTAAAAAAATACAATAAATAACACAGGTACCGGTTAATCTTATTTATTTAATCGTATAAAACCTATATATATCGTAAAAGACCATTTTACATTTTTAAGAATAACTTGCCGTGAGGTTTTCATACAGTCATACATGCTGTTTAATATCATTGAGAATACAAAAAAAAAGGGCAATTTGGTGAATTAAAATAATGATTTGATTTTGGTATTTCAGACAATGGTTGGCCTTGTCAACAACACTTCTAATCAAACACAAATATCATGAAAATAGAGACTGTTACTTTCTGAGAAATTCCTTTGTATAGATTAGAAAAGTGCTGACACAGCGCTGTTTTGTTCTAGAAACTTATTATTAGTATTTCAGACAATGGTTGGCCTTGTCGACAACACTTCTAATCAAACACAAATATCATGAAAATAGAGACTGATACTTTTTAAGAAATTCCTTTGTATAGATTAGAAAAGTGCTGCCACAGCGCTGTTTTGTTCTAGAAACTTATTATTAGTATTTCAGACAATGGTTGGCCTTGTCGACAACATTTCTAATCAAACACAATTATCATGAGAGACTGTTACTTTCTAAGAAATTCCTTTGTATGGGTTAGAAAATGCTGACGCAGACTAAATTTATGCAAATGCATTTCAAAATCTAACCAAGTGTACATACCAACCCACGATACTTTTTTCACTCGCCGTCCACTATTTTAAAAGTGTTGATCTACGTGCAAACGCCAGGCCTGAGTTTCACTTTTTGGGGAGTGAAAAACAGCAGACGCATAAAAATATTTTCTCCTTCAAGGTATTGCAATTCCAATATTCGATTTTTGCTCTTCCGCTCTGGTATTCCTCGAACGCCGACCTCTTGATCTATTCTAGAAACACTTGACGATAATATTGAATGGTGAAAAAAAAAGTCAAGTTGCTGAACCTTTTCGTTTTGATCAATATGGAGGATGACACAGGTTATCTTCAGACAGGTGGGAATAAAAGGAGAGAGGAAGTGACCTTACGATTTCGCTGCCGTCAAGATTTTTTCAAGGTTGGCGTTACGTTAACATATTTCGGTTTTATTTTATGGCGTTTTATCAGCTTAGTTCTGTACAGCATTCACGCTACAGATTGCTTCTTCCGGGAAAAGCTTGCGAGTTATCGCTGCAAAAACTTCACGATATTTTCTCACGCAAAGGGAGTGGAGATAAGTTGGCAGATGTCTTCGTTTATCAACACTGTACTTGTTATTCTTGTGCTACGAAAAGTGCCAGATTTTGAAGGATATATTTCTGCTCTTCGAAACAACTCGAAGCATGCCCGGTTCTGGTCGCTTTTCGCTCAGTTGATGGTCGCTGTTAGTTACAACATCATCGTCATCTCCACAGAAACATCTACTGTAAGTAAAATTATTGAAGTTATGTTCATTCTCGGAGAAATTGCGACGACCCTGGTAGTGTATCTGTGGAATACTGTACCCGCACCGTGGAAGGAACCCAGAGACAAAGTAAAGAATTTGGCATACTCACTCACTCTGCTTTTGTTTATCCTGGAGAACTTATATCTTTTCGTGTTGATTTCCACGCAAGCAGCTTTCCAAGTAACAGGTGTGAATAACTTTCATCGAACCCCGTCCGCCCTTCAGGCAGTTACTATTGTGGTCAATGCTGCAGAAGCCACCTTTTATTACGCCATGATGAAATTCTTTTGGAACAAATGGTTTGATGATCGAAGAAATCTTCTGATCAATGATAATGTTTGAGTACTGCATTTGCATCGTTCACGGGTGGTTGATGTTATGAATAAAAGCGATCTAATGGAGTTGGTCGACAAAACAGTAAATAAGGCGCGATTTATGAGCTATAATCTAAACCGACTAAGAGATTATAAACCAGTTTACAATCTCTCGCAACCGACTCAAATCGAAAATAAGGGGGGATCTGTTGCCGGATTCAGAAGCCGACGTTAAATACCTGTTAAATTCCTTCAAAATACGTTATAATAACTTATGCATTTGGTTCGATTCTTTACAACCGTTCAAAAGTTAACATTCCCGACCAAGCCAGAACGGAAGAACGGCCGAGCCGTTCGAAATTGAGGTAGCCATTCTCAATTGACTCAGAAGCCGAACTCGTTCTCTATACAATAGAATACAATATGCATATGTATATACATAAAATATCTGCGTGTCATCTGCATTGGTATGCGGACAAACTGTTGCGTTTGATAATATGGACGAGGTTGTTCATGATTAAATATCAAAGGACCTAGGACGCTTCCTTGTGGAATTCCTGCCACAATTCCTTGCCAGTTTGAGAACTGATCCTCTAATCTAATTGGTTGACGTAGATTTGTAAGATAATCCTTGACAAGCTCGGAGGTGTTGTCGTCAGTGCCGTTAAGCCCTGAACTTTTCCACTTTTAAGTCACGTGGCAGAGTGTCGAACTCCTTAGACGGGGCCATTGATACAAGGCCGATAACATTGTGATTCTCCAACGTTTTTTTCAGTCAACTTTATTCTTAATGATGAAAAGGTTTCGATTCGACTGGACTCACAGCTTTTCTTGAACAATTTACCTTGAGACCGTATGTCAAATTGCTTTCTTTTTTTCCCCTCTTAGTTCTGTTGTCTCAAATGCACTCAACAGCCTGGATTACTCCTCGGTGGTCTTCTGGCTTAGCACTTCATGGTAATGAATAGAGCTGTCTGAATTATTGAAAAGCTTAGTGTTTTATCTCGCGCAACGGTATCTCATATTCCTCGCTCGCTTGTTTCTAAGAGTTAACGAGTGAACGTTATTGGATATAGTTAAGTCAAGAGGAAATGTACAAACAGAATGGTGAACCAGCTATTGAATCTATTACCGACCTAGCAGAGGGAAGAACTCATGTGTCTCCTTCACTTGCAAACGCGCTTAGTCGTACTCCAACTTATTGTCATCAAGGAACACCAACAGAGAATGAAAACATTCTAAAGCTACAAAATGACCTAGCCCTAGTGCAAGACGTTTTGCAGAGGAAACCTAGAGAAAGACATGATCGTTTCCATGAAAGATATTAAAATTAAGGGAAAAATGAAATAAGCTTTATTTAGTCAAAACATGGAAAAAACTCCCAAAGATAAATTAATGTACAGAGAACAGTGAGGAAAATTTGTCTGATAACACCTTTTGCAATGTTGAAAATCAACTAAATTCAAAATATATGAATAATCACATAAAACTACTGCAATCAGCGCCATTCAAGAAGATATATCATGTTCAAATAAACAAATCAAGTAAAAATGAGAACAAATTGAAAATGGTTAGATTATTTCTTGCTTTCTCGGCAAGAAACTAAAGCTTAGATCCATAACTTTTAAAAGTGAAATGAAACAAAAAGTTAATGCCCAATGCCATGGTCAGAGCAATTACACAGTTTCATAATTTTTTGACTCTGGAAAAATTCATTCACTAACCAAAACTTTAAGGTAAAGTTGAAAAACATACCTCAATCGAACTTCCGTCCTGATAGCAGGTAATTTAGTGTTAACAACTGGGTTGAAAACGTAAATTAGCCACCGTAAAGGGTAAAAAAGCTGACGTTTCGAGCGTTAGCCCTTCGTCAGAGCGATTTGAAAAATCGCTCTCACGAAAAATCGAAAACATGGAAATCAAAATCAAAATCAAATCGCTCTGATGAAGGGCTAACGCTCGAAACGTCAGCTTTTTTACCCTTTACGGTGGCTAATTTACGTTTTCAACCCAGTTGTTAACACTAAATTACCTGCTATACTCTCCCACCGACGCAGCACCACAGTTTCTTTAGAAACTTACCCCTTTATTCATTCCGTCCTGATACTTCTGTGTCCGAAGTTTCGCCTCTATCGCCCCTTAATGACCACCATCTTGAGTACACGCGAAGATCAGTATCTATTTACTGGTTTCCAATAGAATTATTGGTCAGTAAATACGGCGAGTAATGACGAATTCATTTATTTATTTATTCGATCATTATTTATTACACGGTAAAAAAATTCATCATTACAAAAAATCCAATACAATGACTAATATCCTAAGAACCTAAAAATCCTAATCCTAACATTATATTAACTTACAACAATGTGGCACTTAAAAACTTGATTTCCATGAATGCTGTGTTTAAAAATGGTGATAGAGAAGGCGTTTAAATTGTTTTAATGAACGAGACTCTCTAATGTTACAGGGTAAGCTATTCCAAAGGGTTGGACGAAAACAGAATTTGTTGCAATTTTCAGGAATATTGTTTAAATAAATAGACCCCTCGTCCCAAGTTAAAGGTATTTCGCGGGCTAGTCTAGGCCCTGTAGTTGAAAACTGTTCGTTAAAGGCGTTGGAAATCTGGCTAGAGTCACGGATAGAGATATCATTTACTTTCATTTCCTTTACTATCTGGTTGTTCTGACGACGAGACACGAGGTTGTTAATGGTTCTCCAAGTCTTTCGAGCATTTCCTTCGGATTGAATAAAACTATTTTGGTAATAGGATGCCCTAGTGGTTTTCACTTCATTGTTGATTCGATTTCGGAGCTTTCTGTAATTGGCCCAGTCTTGGAGGCTTTGTTGTTATCGCTTCCCTTTTAGCAACAGCGCACACCTTTCTTCAAGGCTGAATTAATTCAGGGTGTTTTGTTCAATTTAGCACGTCTAGTTCGAAAAGGAGCATGTGAGTTAAAAACGCGCAAAAATTTTGTTTTTCAGTCAGACCACAACAAATTTGGATCTCCTGATTCATCGAACGACCAGTCTTTCTGAGACATTTCATTTCGAAGTTTTTCACGATCAAAATTTCGAAAATTTCTGTAAGAAATGGGAAATATGGTAAATCAGAGGATAGTCTTCGATAAACATAGACGACGCTATGATCGCTGATGGCAATGTTGGAGACTTCGGAACAGCCTACCCTGTCTGTATAATTTGTATAGATCAAATCAATTAGTGTAGATGAGAATTTTGTAACACGCGTTGGTTCATTTATTAGCTGTTTGAGCCCATATAAAATAAACAGCGAACATTTCGGATTGGGTACAAAAATCTTTAATTTCCGAAATGGTCGCCATGTTGTGACGTCACATAGTTATCCCGGACTGTCCATTCGTAAGGAAGGAAACTAGACGAGCCATATATGGAACTACTGACATACATTCCGTACTTTAAGACTGCCGCACCAAAAGACACTTAGCTCAACGCGGCTGAATGCAAATGCAGTTATACTACTGAAAGCGAGATGTCACGGTGCATCAATTCATTTATGGTATCGTGCGCTTTTCACTATTTATCGTTGTGATTGGCATATGTATGTCACCTGCTGGGATGTGCAAATTCCTCGTCAAATCTGTACGGTGTGTGGGCGTGGCTCAAAAAGACTATCAGCTGTCATACAGGTCATCAACTTGGAAAACCCAACTTTGATGAGGGAGAAAGAACCAAGATGGTATAACAAGCCTTTCACGCGGTGAAAATAGAGATTTGAAATGGATTCCGTCTTCACAGAAACGATCGTGATAATCGTAGTTATAGGGTTACCCACATAATGGATGGGCTAGCAACGTTTTTTTTTTTCATGTACAAGATTATACTGCTACAGTGGAAATTAAAGGATATTACGCAAAATTATTTTATTATATTGCGGAGTTTATCAATAAAATATGTTTAAAATATTTGTACCGAACTGAAATAATTTAATTGTGGCTATTTGATCGATAGGTAAAAGTGAATTCTGAAAGAAGGAAGTCTCTCTCCTGGAAACTTGAGAAGAAATTACAGTGGTTGAAACTTTTTTGCCTTGCGAATATCACATCATTCTGAGTAGGGTCAGGCTACTCAAAGAATTATCTTAAGTATTGTAGTGACTGCTTCGAACCAAAGGAAACATTAAGAAGAACACAAACGACAAAAGTCCAGTCATCAGTTATTTATGATACAACGAGGTAGGTAAGTACAAGGAGTCATGAAAATTAATGGATTACCTTTAATACACGGACCTAGCCCATAAAATGTCTCAAGCTCATCTTTTGCCGACTCGAGCACAGGGTTCTTCTCCCTTACTAGTAAGCGTACGTACCGGTGTGATTTTAAAACCAAACTCAGCTTACATACACTCATGAATAAAGGGGGTAAGTTTCTAAACAAACTATGGTGCTGCGTCGGTGGGAGAGTGTAACAGGGTAATTTAGCGTTTTATTACACCCATTTTGAAATCACTGGTGGTTCCTGTAATCTGATTGGCTCTAACTGATGCGATTTATTCACGAATCGCACCATTTTTTGCTTTAAATCGCATCTTTTTCCCAGCCAACGAGAAGGCTACACTAAAAACAAAACAACCAATCAGATTTTAAGGCTTGTTTAAAGTAACCGATCAAATTGCAGGAAAATGAAAGACAAGGAGCATCATGTGGCAAATTTTGCAACTTTTATTTCTCAACTCTTACTTTCCCCCCCCCCCCCAAAAAAAAAAAAAAAAGGACGTGAATTTAATTTCAGACCGGCTCAGTACTGCATCAATAAAATATTTGATCTGATCAAGTCCTGTATTTGGGCGATTTCAAAATGAATGTAATAAAGTGGTAATTGAACCTCGTGTCGTGCAATTTTGGTCTGAAATCATACTTTTGAAATCACGCGCATGATTTCAGCCCAAATTGCACTCCACTCAGTGCAATTACCATTATATATCAACTGAATTGATAACGTAAATTGGCCACCAAAAAGAGTCAATTAAAAGCTGATGTTTCGAGCGTT